AGCTCTGAAGTGCGTGCGCATCTGAACGTACTGATGAATCTCACACCCACCACGTACACATTTCAAGCTGTTAGCAGATAATGGTTTAAAGATTTGACCCACTAAAATGGGAAGAAAACAAAAATCTGTGTCAGAATATGCTTCAGAACACAAGGAAGCATTTGAAAATTAATAAATTAAAAAAAAAAACAGGAGAAAAGGATGAAGTTGAGTGTATGCGCTGCAAATGGTGTGGCCCAATTAGCCTAGAAATATTTACATTGAATAACAGTTCTAAGTCTACACCAGTAAACTGTTTACTCAAACGAAAAGTTTTATTTAGGGATTAGAGATATTGTTTTCTTAAACTCAGAAGTGGCAGCACTGTGTTCTGAATTCTGTTTTAGTTCTGCAGCAAACCACACTGATGAACGGAATTCAAAGCATTAATCTACTGAATACTTTTCACCCCATCTTTCCGTCCACACACACACACACACACACACACACACACACAAAAACTGATATTTACCCAGAAAAATTAATATTTTTTTTCACTGATTTTCACCTGTTTTTGTTGTTGTGGTAAAATCACTGATAAAATCCCAAGAAAAAATAAATAAAATCAAAACTGAAAATGAAGGGCCCTATCTATTCAGTTTATCAAAGGGAAGGCTGAGAGGAGATTTGATCACTGTGTACAGGCTCAGACACATGGAAAAAGAGTGGGGGATCCCTGGAGAGTGGGGGATGTTTCAGCTTTGAAATAAGATGCAATTTCCTAGTGGTGAGGGTAATTAAACATGGAACAGTTTACCAGGGAGGTGGTGGACTCTCCATCAGCTGGAGTCTGAGATTAGATATCTTTCTAAAAGACAAGCTTTAATCCAGTTTCTGGAAGAAATCCTACCATCTGCGTGTGCGGGGCCTTGAACTGGATGACCACGGTGGTCTCTTATGACCTTGGAGTCTGAATCTGTATTAATCCCCCTATTCGTCCTCTCCCTTCATAGGCCACAGAGAGAACAGAAGTTCTGCAATGCCCTGAACACTTGCTGCTCTGTTTTATGACACTGACTGTAATCCAGTATCAGGTTTCAGGGCTTCAGCTAGTTCCCTGCAGGGGTTGAGAAGGAATTTCCCTCCCCTAAACCACAATTGGTCAGATGTGTTCTGGGTTTTTTCCTGCCTTCCTCTGAAGCATCAGGGCTGGCCACAGCTGGAGATGGGATGCTGGACAGGGTGGGCTGGTGCTCTAAGGTGGAAAGAAAAGATGTCTGTCTGGTGAGTCTTGCTCAGAGTCAACCTGAACACCAGAGTTGGAGGTGGGAAGAAATTTTCTTCCAAATCAGATTGGTGAGGCCCGTGCATCCCCCACACCCATCTTCTTCTGCAGCATGGAGCATGAACTGCGTGGGCATCTCCCACCTTATCAGTTCCCTGCCACTGTAGAGGCCTCGGGCTTTGGTGGTATCTCGGTCTCTCCTGCCCTCTGCCTATGACAAGAACTTAGCCTCCTGACGACTCAGATCCCTTCATCTACCCAAGTTATTGGGCTCAACACAGGGGCACTGGGTGAGGTTGATGGTGTGGGGTGTGCAGGTCAAAATGGATAATCTGATGGTCTCTTCTGCCTTCAACTCTATGAAACTAAACTGGCTTCTCATTATTTACCACTCCTCCAATTTTATGTCACCTGGGAAGAAAACAAGGTCATTGGTAGTAAAGTTTGCAGATCATTGGATACAGAATTGAACTGGGCCAGATACAGATCCCCGTGGGACCCCTCTAGAAATACTCCCATTGGAGGCAGTACAGTGATGGGTGCCACAGAGAACCCCCTAGAGGAAGAAAGAAAACATGCCAAAGAGATGCATCATGCTGTTATGAACAGGTCTTGAAAAAAAACTGACCTGACCCTTATTAGCCCGAGGACCTAGTCTACTAGCCAGAGTAAAAATACCTGTGCTGCCACACCCTGCCCAAGGACATGTCCTCTGCAATGTGCAATAATGTATCTGGATACAGTTTAGTATCTCACTAATGGGCTGGCCAGACAAACATTCATTGCGTACATTTGACAAGTTTCTCCCACATTTGTTGCACAATAAATCCATCAGAAAACTATCTCCCAGAGCTAGCTGTTGAATGCAGCATTTATCATGTGAATTACCAAACAGACACTGGGGAAGTCTACCAGATAATGTATTTGACAAATACTACTCAAAAAGTCCCACTTATTGCACCATCCTAGCTTTTCTCTTCTGCTTTTCCTTCCCAACTTCAGACACCAAGGCCAGAAGAAACCACTAGGATCATCTAATCTGACTTCCTGGATACACAGGCTGTAGAATTTCCCCCAGAAGCTGGAATAAGGCAGGTCTTTTAGGAAGATACCTAATCTCGTTTTAAAGCCCCCATGATGTAAGAGTTCAACTAGGTCTGCTAGCCAAGAGCAATACAAGAGATACCAACCTCCCACCCCCACACACAGACCCCAGAGAGGGTATCAACCAGGCAAGATGCCAACCCTCCCAAGCTGCTGGGATTCTTTTCAGAGTGCTGCTCCTAGACCCTGTTCAAAGAATCTGTATATTGTATCAGCTTCCAGCCGCTTGGAGTCTGAATTTTGCAGCACACTTCCCCCCACTCACTGCCTAAACAACCTGGTTGATACAGGGAGATGCATTCTCTCCCCACCTTTTCCCACTCACTCCAAACACTCCTGGCTGCTGCAAAAGGTGTCTCTCTCCCACTCGTTCTTCATTTCTGAGTCAGCCTCCCCAGCTTCACCCTAAGCAGAGTGAAGCTGACCAGATGCTTTCCAGCTTCACAAAGGAAAGGGACTGTGTAGAAAGGGGTGTAGCAGAGCCAGACTCCCTACCACGACACTGCCTGCTGGCTGTTCTGGAATTAGCTCAAGTCCTTCTGCAAGGCGCCCTCCTCCGGTGGTGTTTTGCTCGCCTACTCGGTGACTACTCTCGCTTTGCTGTCTCCACCACTCTGGGACCCACGTCACTCCCCAGACCACGGCGTCCTCTTCTGGATACTGCCCTCTGACTGTGCCCCGCTGCCTCCCCCCTTTCAGAGGACCCAGCAGTCTATAGTTAGCCATTTGCCTCAGTGGCCTGCTGCCGTCACCAGTCTAGTCCCTTGCTCCAGGGACAAACTGCAGTCCGTGTTGCCACTTCCTTCACGGCAAGTAGGGACAGCCCTAGCACCTTATCTGCCCTTCCTCGAGGGCCTCAGTCTGGCAGCAGTCAGCCAGAAGCTCCTTCAGCTCTGCTACGCTGCCCAGCACGGCAGGGAGAGACTCCCCCTGCTCTGTTGAGCAGCCCTTTATATATATGGCCCCTGCTGGCCGATTGGCCACTGCAACAAAGCATCTCCCGATGGGCTCGCTTAGTGAACCCTCCTCTAATGGGAGGGTTCTGCACAGGCTCCCTCTGGCCTCCTTTAACCTTTCCTCTTCCTGGCGTGGGGCAACCGCCCCACTGCAGGGGGATTAAAAATTAACACACACTGTGTCTCAGGTAATTCCAGAACCTTTTAGCATGTAAATCCTCACACCCTTCACTTCCGAGAACCCTTTCACCAAGTCACCTGAAAAACCTCCACACACTTCTCTGCAGGAAAAGGTACCAGAAACTCTTCAGGACAGACTCCTCCGCCACAGAAAGCTTGTATACAGCAAACAGCTTGTGTGTTAAATGAGATGCTTAGTACTGTATAAAACTCCACATACTCAGAGCATTTTTAACATACACTTGCCTGATTTTAACTTTCAGGATTCCTTTTTAAAAGCTAGTAAATTCACATACAAGAGCCCTCATTACTGGTCGTTCAGGTTGCTAAATGCAATTCAGAAGAAGATATATCATTATGCATAATTAAAAACACATTAAAACCTAAGCAAATCACAACTAAGGTTACATTAAATAGTTCTAATATTAACCTTATTCAAAACAGGCACATAGAGAAGAACGCCAACAGATTAGGAGTGAGAAACAGGATGGAGGCATGTGAAATGGTGGAAGACAGATATTTGAGAGACCAGACCTAAAGAGCACCCAAGACAGTAAGAAAGAAGTCAATATGAGAAGGAACCGTACACACTAGCAACTCAGAGAATGCCTTTCCAGCTTTTAGGGCTTCACATGAACACTGGAATTGCCAGACTGGATCCAACCAGTGGTCCATCTATTCCATTAGTCTGCCTCCAAGAGCGACCAAACTAACTGCTTCAGAGGAAGGTGCAAACATCCAGCCAAAGGCAGCGGTGGGATAACTCACAGGAAGGTTCTTCTTCATTTCTATCAGTTAGGGCTTGTCTACTTAAGAAACTGACTGCAATAAACTACCGTGCACTAGTTCTGGAATAGCGATACTGCTTTGAATTCACACGACCCGATTCCAGAATAACCTCCCCATGCAGACAAGCCCCTAGAGGTTGGCTCATGCCCTGAACTATGCAGATTCACATCAATCCCCAAACTTCAGAGTTGTATTAGCCATCTAGATACCCTGGGCTGTTAAGCTCTAGTTAAGCTTTTGGTCTCCGATATCTAACAGCAGTGAATTCCCGTCCCAGTTAACTGCACACACAAGTATTTCCTCTGGTGAGTTATAAATTTGCTCCTTTCGGTTTCTGGGAATGCCCCCTTGCTCTTGGGTGAGGAGAGGGGTGACGAGCAAGGCCTTCGCCACCTTCCCTGCCCCAGTCACTGCTGGCGGGCGAAGGCCAGGAGCCCTGGTCCTTTCAGGCCGGATTCTGGATTCCCGATCCCCAGGCCGTGCCCCGCCCCCATCTCGGAGCCCGAGTCTCCGCTGGAGCTGGGGGGCCCGAGCCCGCAGAGCCGGGGGAGAGGGGGGGCGGCTGGCCTATGTAACAGCCCGGGGCTGTCAGCTCTGTCACACGGGCCGCCGCCGGGGCCTTCCCTGGGGGGCCGAGCCGAGGCCGGGAACGGGCCGGAGCGCGCTGAGGGGGCCGGGGAACGGCTCGGGCCGGGCCCGGGACTCACCCTCCAGGCTCTCGCACTGCACCAGGTTCACGTAGTCGCCCTGGCTCAGCACGCCGGCCTTGAAGCCCCGCACCAGCCCCTCCAGGTAGCCGCTGTCCACGTTGAAGTAGAGCTCGGGGAAGCACGACATGGCGGCGGCCGCGGACCCGGACCCGGCTCGCTCCCGGCGACTGGGGGGGACCCGGCGGCTGCGAATCACGTGACACGCGCTGCGCTCACGTGACAGGGACGGGCGGGGGAGGGAGATCCCGGCATGCGCCGCGCGGAGCCGCCCCCAGCGAGCCCGGCACTGAAGTGGGGACAGTCATTGGCCGAGGAGGCCGCGGGGGCTCGGCCGGGGGGTGGAGCCAGCGTTGGCAGGGGGCGGGGGTAGTGGCGGGGGTTGTTGGCTGTTGGCAAGGGGAGGGGTTGATGACAGGGTGAGGGTAGTGGCAGGCTGGGGGCGGGGCTGTTGGCAGGGGGTGGGGTAGTGGCAGGCTGGGGGCGGGGCTGTTGGCAGGGGGTGGGGTAGTGGCAGGGGAGAAGGCAATGGGGGGGTGTTGGCAGGGGGTGGGGTAGTGGCAGGCTAGGGGGCGGGGTTGTTGGCAGGGGGTGGGGGTTGTTGGCAGGATGCGGGTAGTCGCAGGGTGGAGGACGGGGCTGTTGGCAAGGGGAGGGTTGATGGCAGGGGGTGGGGGTAGAGGCAGGGGAGGAGGCAGTGGGGGGGTGTTGTTGATGGGGGGGTGTCGCTCCCACTGGTATAAATAGAGGTGTGTGCTGTGCTGTGCTGTGCAGGCTCACGCCTGTACAGTATGTGAATGTCCCTCTGTGTATCCCTATGTGGGTATTAAACAAGCACAAGGAAAGCCAGCCTGCCCTGTGGAACTAACATGACATTCCCCCCATTGCCCTGATCACTTTGCCTGTGTTGCATCGGTTGGTCCATCGTCCATCACGCCTGTAAGCGCTTTGAGGCAGGGACCATGTATTAGCATGTACAGCAGCTACTACAATAGCCCTCCCACCCTGGAGGGAGCCTCCAAGTCCTACTGGGACACTGATAATTAACAAAAACAACAAGGAGTCTGGTGGCACCTTAAAGACTAACAGATTTATTTGGGCATAAGCTTTCGTGAGTAAAAACCTCACTTCTTCGGATGTTTTTACTCACGAAAGCTTATGCCCAAATAAATCTGTTAGTCTTTAAGGTGCCACCAGACTCCTTGTTGTTTTTGTAGATACAGACTAACACGGCTACCTCCTGATACTTGATAATTAACAAGAGCTGTGCAGAAGGTGGAAATTCCATTTAACAAACCATTTCAAGATTTCAAAACATGGCTTCATTGTTTCAAACAAAAAATGAAAATATTTGGTTCCAAAAATGTCCAAAGAGGATGTTTCAGCATTGTTAGAATTCCCCCCCCAATCCTGTTTTTTCTCCAAAATTTTGATGAGATTGACACAGTTTCACAAAGCGTTTCAGTTTCAACAGAGCTGTATTCTCCAATGGAAAATGGTTCTCCTCAAGTGTCTCCAACCAGCTATAATAATAAACAGACTTCCCTCCCATGCTGTAGCCCTGTCTGTGCCCCTACGAGTATGCTCTGCACCTTCTGTGCCCGGTCTGGGCCTCTCTTAAGTCAATTGTGACTTTTTTGTGACGTACACAAATAGGAAGTAGGGTGAGAAAAACACTAAGTTCATTTTCACTTGTCATTTTAGATTAGTCCTTGCATGAATACATTAGGCACATTAGTATTTGTCCTTGGCAGCATTGGCTTATATTATATACATGCTAACCAGTTCTTTCTTCCTGGCCTAATTAGCCTTGGGTGCAACAGCAGTTGAGGGAGAGGGGATCTCTCACAGCATTTGTACCACTTTAACGGTTTAGAAACCGATGTAGTTAAATTGGTACCATCCCCTACTCAGGGCCGGCCTTAGCAAGAGCGGGGCCCGATTCCTGGGGGTGGGGCTTGCCGGCAAGCCCCGCCCCCAGGAATCGGGCCACGCTCCGGCCAGGGTCACAGGGTTTGGGTCCGGGCCAGGGCCGCTGGGGCCGGGGGTGCTCGGCCGGCACCACTCGTCCGGGGCCGGGCCGGAGTCGCTCGGCCGGGGCCAGGGACGGCGCCCGGGGGCCCGAGCCAGAGCCGCCGGGGCCAGAGCCGGAGCCGCTCAGGCAGGGGGTGCTCAGCCGGGGCCAGAGCCGCGGGGCCGGGCCGGGGGTGCTTGGGCGGAACCGGGGTCCGGGCCGGGCCGGAGCCAGAGCCGCTCGGCCAGGGCCCAGGGCGGGCCGGGGGGGCTGGGCCGCGCGCCGCCCGCCTCCCCGCCGCCCCCCCGCGCCCCCCCCCCCCCCGCCCCAGCTTACCTGCTGCTTCCCGCCTGCCCCTGCTTCTTTTCAGACTTCCCGTGAACATCTGATTCGCGGGAAGCAGAGGAGGGGGAGGAGCAGGGGGCGGAGCGTTCAGGGGAGGGGAGGATGGGGAAGTGAGCTGGGGGCGGGGGCAGGGTGGACAGCTGCAGGGCCCTCTTAGGCACGGGGCCTGATTCAGCCGAATCGGCTGAATCGGCCTAAAGCCGGCCCTGCCCCTACTGTGGACACCGTCACACCAATCTAAAGGTGCTTACATCAGTATCCTCACTTTGTATAATGAGCCCTGTTGGTAGATTCCTAATATGGCTCCTGGGTTAAGTCTCAAGGAGCTAATATTGTTCCTGGTTTTAACAAAGGGGAAAAGCGATCTGGGAAAATACAGGCCTGTTAGGTTGACTCCAATTGTGTGTAAGGACTTGGAACAAATTAAGAGAAAGTAGGTAAGGACATCTAGGTGAACAGTAATTGGGATAAAATTTAACATGGGTTTACCAAAGGTAGAGCGTGCCAGACCAGCCTGATCTCCTTCTCTGAGAAGATAGCTGATTTTTTTAGACAAAGGAAATGCAGTAGATCTAATCTACCTGGATTTCAGTAAGGCATTTGATGAAGCAAAAAAATTTGCTATAAGCTTGGGACTTATCAGTTGGAAGTGACAGAGGAGAAGAAAGATCTGGGTGTATTGGCTGATCACAGGATGACTATGAGCCGCCAATGTGATAACTATGAGCCACCATGTGGCCATGGAAAAGGCTAATGCATTCCTAGGATGCATCAGGGGAGGTATTTCCACTAGAGACAGGGAAGTGTTAGTACCATTATACAAGGACTGGTGAAACCTCTGGAATACTGCTTGTAATTCTGGTCTCTCATGTTTAACAAAGGTAAATTCAAACTGGAACAGGTGCAGACAGGGCCGGCGCAACCCATTAGGCGACCTAGGCGGTCGCCTAGGGCACTGCGATTTGGGGGGCGGCAACCGCGGCGGTATTTCAGTGGCGAGACCTTCTGCTGCCTCTGTGGGGGGGCGGCATTTGGGGGTGGGACCTTCCGCCGCCTAGGGCGGCGGAAAAGCTGGCAGCGCTCCTGGGGGCAGAGAAGGGCCGCTAGGATGATCCGAGGAATGGAAAACGTAAGTTATGAGAGGAGACTCAAAGAGCTTGGCTTGTTTAGCCTAACCAAACGAAGGCTGAGGGGGGATATGATTGCTCTATATAAAAACATCAGAGGGATAAATACCAGGGAGAGAGAGGAGTTATTTGAGTTAAGCACTAATGTTGACACAAGAACAAATGGAGATAAACTGACCATCAACAAGTTTAGGCTTTAAATTAGACGAAGGTTTCTAACCATCAGAGGAGTGAAGTTCTGAAACAACCTCCCAAGGGGAGCAGTGGGGACAAAAAAACTAACTTGTTTCAAGACTGAGCTTGATAAGTTTACGGAGGGGATGGTATGACGAGATTGCCTGCAAGGGCATGTAGCCGATCTGCAACTGCTAGCAGCAAATATCTCTGATGGCTGATGATAGGACACTAGAGGGGAGGGCTCTGAGTTACTACAGAGAGTGCTTTCCCAGGTGCCTGGCTGTTGGGGCTTGCCCACATGCTCAGGGTCTAACTGGTCGCCATATTTGGGGTTGGGAAGGAATTTTCCCCCAAGTCAGATTGGCAGGGATCCTGGGGGGTTTTCTCCTTCCTCTGCAATGTGGGGCATGGGTCATTTGCAGGTTTAAACTAGTGTAAATGGTGGATTCTCTGTAACTTGAAGTCTTTAAACCATGATGCGAGGACATCAGTAACTCAGCCAGCAGTTAGGAGTCTATTTCAGGAGTGGGTGGGGGAGGTTCTGTGGCCTGCAATGTGCAGGCGGTCAGACTAGATTATCATGATGGTCCCTTCTGGTCTTAAACGCCATGGTCTATGAGCCCAACTGGTCTGCTCTACATCACAGTGGTGGACTTGTGAGGATTTTCTTGAGGTCACCTGATTTCAAACGTTGTATGAGACCATCTGTGTGCCATGGAGGATTGCTGCTCCCCCAGATGGGAACCACTTCTGCTTTCCAGCCGCTCCACCTCCAATGTGGAGAGAGCCCTTTGTGAAAGTCCATAGAATCCCATGCCACAGGCAATCTGGTGGAACAGGACACCGATGACATGGCTGTCGGCACTCTCACAAGACTGATAGCCCCTGCCTTCCCCAGCAGTCACCTCTCTGAGATAGCACTCCCTAAATCAGACACAGGAGGTCTCTGTAACATGTTTCTTGCTAATGGGCGTGAAGCTATTTGCTGTTTCCTGCTAAAGGAGAATATCCCTGAGAGAGGCAAAGAAAAAGCCAGGGGCGGACCGACTGAACTTGGTGACACTATTTACTAGTAGATCGTTTATTGGAACTGCATAGGGCACATGGGCGTAAGGAAAAACAGTTACTAATCCGAAGAGCGAAAAAAGGGGTTGGCGGGGAACAAGCCAAAGCTAGTTCTTGCCACATGGGAACGTGGCATTGATTTTCCTGCAATAGCAAAAGGCATTGAAGAAGCGGCAGTAGCAGGTGGCACAAGGATCACAGCAGGGGAGCTGGTGCCCAAGGCAGGATTCCAGCAGGCGGACGCATCTGCGTGGAGAGCGCTCCTCTCGTCCCTGAGCCCCCAGTGCAGCAGACAACACCTGCAGGAGGAGCAAAAGAAAAGGGGTTTCATACAGGACAACCATGCACATGAATGGTGAACAGCTCAGTGTGTTCTTGGGACCCCCATCGGCATGCTCTGTGAGGGCAGAGGGTTAAACATTTGCTGTGCTTGCATTGAAGTTGGATTGATTTACGGGTGCTGTGCTGCACGTGGGTTTCATCA